CTATTAACCTCAGACAAACTAATTAGCTGTAAAACTTATTCAGACTATGGGGACATTGATGAGGGAGCTAAGCTTTCCAAAAGTAAATACTGCAAACTGTGCAAGTCTCATTAATCACTCATCAACTGTCAAATGCAACTGGGACTTTTATCATCACAGCATCATGCTACTGTTTCCTGTAATGTTGTGTACTGATAGCTTCCCTTGAAAAGTTTACAGAAAGTGCAAATAAAAAAATTTGCATATGGTACTCAACCATTGTTCTTGTTTTCTTCTAGTACACCATAATATAGCTACACTGTTTTATTTTATATTGCTGTATTTTGATCTGAAATATTATTCTGCAGATAGCCATCGCTATGCTTTCAGGTTTTATTGCGAAGTGTCCCCTAAAGACATGTTATTGCATTCGTTAATATAAAAAAGTACATTATATATTCCCAAATCAATCTAGTTTAATTACCTGAATTTGCCTTGGTAAGGGTCCATTCACACCATTGACGTTGGAGCTGCACCGGTCGTTGGTTCTAAAGTAGCAAGACAATTTGCCTTGTTACTGATAGTGCCCATTCACACCACTGCATTGTGGTAGGAACCCGGTGGTGTGCGCTGAAAAAAGTAAGCCATGTCCTTCTTTTTTTTTTTTTTTTTTTTTTTTTTAGTGCAGCGGGATGCAATGTGGTACAACCGCCTTGCACCCCTCTCTGCCTGTAGAACTGAATGAAATGTCATTTGTGACATTTGAATAAAATTCTAACAACAAAGAAAAGTGCACTGTGCAGGAGCACCACACATTTGTGAGTGATACACAAATAAGATATGTTTTTGTTAATAGTTAAGGTACTTGAGTGCATTTTTAAGATTTTACCTCCAGAGTTTAGTGTCAATTTAATGGCGTAACCTGGTTGGTTTGTAAACTAGTTAGTATTGAACTAGTCTCCTTGGAGTGTCTTAGCATAACTGGCTTGGCGTGCACAGGAGGCATACCATATTTACATGTTTCAGATTAATTATCGTACATGAATGACTGACAGCAGGGCGCTTGCAGTATGGTTTGATGATGTAAACGTTTAGAACAGAAAATGGTTGAGATACTGTCAAGTAAACTATATATGCAAATGGGAAATCTGATAAGAGTGTGTTTAACAATGAAAAATAATTTCAGCTTAATAATTTGTTCTCATCTTTTACTAAAACCTAAAGTGTTTTGATCCTGACAGTTGTTAAATAATTGAACGTCAAGTAACTTTCTGTACTTGAAGTTGGTGTAAGCACTTTACACCCATCCTTGTTTATCCATACATCCTCTTGTTTCTTCGTGATGGCAATGACAGCCTCTTTGACTAGAGGGAATCAGAAATGGTACATTTGTATAGAAAATAAGATGGAAATGTCAGCCATCAAGAAGTCAGACGGTTAGCGTAGATTGAGAAGTTGGGTTTTGAATTATTTTTCCTGAAGAATGACAGCATTAACAACTTTTAGTGTAAAATGTAGCATAACCATAATCATTGTTGCATCTGTAGAGAGCACAATCCTAAAGGAAGATGACTTGGTGACAATGTGCCATCTTTGATTGGCTAATTCATTTTCTTTTATCCTTTTTACTTGTTGACTTTTTTTATTTGTGATAAGATGTTTGTTCATAGCTGTTGCGTTTGTATTATAAGCCTTTTGTTTTTTAGTTGGTAACAAAATAGAGATTTGAAGATCTTAAAAGGAGTTTAGATATGAAGCTGGCTATATACTAGTAGATTTTCACATTAACATTCATAGGAAACATCTCATCAGAATATTCAAAAATGCCAAATGTTTTTCCAAAGTTCGTTTTCTGACCACATTCAATGTTAGATTTTTTCTTTATTTGTTCTAGGAAGTTTCTATCCTGTTTCTTTGATCAGTTGAAAAGGTTGGGTCGATCTGATACAATTAACTATTAGAAAATCAAATGGATTTTCCAGAAACAAATTGTTTTTTAAATAATGTTACAAGTATATGGCCAGCTTTGCACTTTCACATGTCTCTTAGTTGAATGTTTGTATGGTCTGATCATCACATTTTGTGATTGCTGTTTTTTCTTGCAAACTACGCAAATATTTATTATCAGGGTTGAGCATTAGTGCATTTGTCCCTAGAGAGAACAGTTTGCATACATATATTGCATTACTTACCAATTTGATTCACACCAGTACTGGGCTTTGCTGCAAATTACAGAAATGTTATTGAGATTCATTCAACGTTGTTAGTGCAGAAAGGCATCATTTTGCATTGATGAGCTTTAGGTTACAGCAAGGACAGAGTTTCCTGATATGAGTATTTGGAACATTATCAAAGTTTCCAAAGCGGAGTATACTGTATATATTTTATATATAAACCTTAAGTAGTGCATTTAAAAGGGGTCCCAATTTTTTTTTTTTATTATCTGACCTTTGTTTGTCTTATTTTTTTAATTAATTATTATTATTATACTACATTTTGGGTCCACAAAAATGCTTTTTTAATAAGTTTGTATTTTTGTATCTCTAACTTTGGTGGGTACGATTTTTTAACAAATGTTATGTGTTTTTCGATAACACATTTTTTTACCCTTTTTAATAGATCATACTACACAAGCTTTTGCTCGTCACTCCTCTGACAGATTTAATTCATGAAAAATTTTGGATCAGTGATAGATTGGATAGATAGAAAATTAATCAGTGGATACCCACTGACAAATTCCTATTTGTGTTGTAGCTAAATAAACTACAATGCTGCGCACATTAGGTTCCACATTACCTAAACTTTTTAATGTCTATACTGTGAACTATATAATGTCCATACCACAAACATACAGTGGTAACTCGGTCCACGAACGCTTCTGTTCGCCAACAATTCAGTTCGGCAAAATTTTTGCCTCCATTTGCAAACTCTGCATTTGGTGACTAACTTCCCTGCTCTGACACGTGGTCGTGGCTTCCTCTAGTCGAGATCGTGGTCACAGACAGACCTGAAGCTTTTTTGTGTGCTTTTAAGAACATACAGTATTATTCAATCCAGCATGAGTCCAAAGTGCAGAGCAAGTAAAAAAAAAAAAAAGTGCAGAGCAGTAATGAAGGTGAAGGGAACATTGGTGTTCATTCTGTACTTTACTTTGTTTCATATTTTTGTGGTTAAAAGTTTTTTTTACATATGGTTCAGAACGGATCAACCTCATTTACATTGAACCCTATGGGAAGATTTGATTCTGTTCGTGACCAAAATTAGTTTGCGACCACATTCGCACGGGTCAGAATGGATTAACCTTATTTACATGAATCCTTTTGGAGAATTTGTATTCGGTTCACGACCAATTCGGTTCACAACCAGAATCGTGGAACCAATTAAGTTTGAACCGATGTACCACTGTATAAACATGCAGGCAGAGGCCCCTTCTGAGAAGTATGGTTAAATCAACAATGGCAGGTTCTGGGAGATATTCCTCAAGAGCATAGAGATCACATAAAAACTAGGGTCTGTGTTGGGAATGGAACTCGGAACCCCAGCATTGCAAGGCCAGAGTCCTAACCACCAATCCACAGTGCAAATTATAAGGTTCTGAAGACTGAACACACCTCTATAGGTTGGGAAAATTTTCCAGTTGTCTCTGAACAGGTACTTGTTACTGAGGGTAATATGCAGGGTGCAGCGTCGGCGCATTGTAAATGAAATGTGAGGGGACAGGAGGATTACAGCTGACATTTATTTTCAGAGGTATGTATGGCAATAATGATATATTACAAGACAGCTTTTGCTCTTTGGCATTCAATTTTAAATAAGCTATAAAGGTTCTGCAGTAAATTACACTTCTATACAGATTTAAAGTCAAACTGCTAACTATGGGCTTGAAATGCATATTTGTGAACTGGTTTTCCTTGTCTTGTATGGGTTTTGGTCAGTTGTGGTGCATTGGCAGCCTATTTATAATGAATGGGCTGCCTAACACAAGCACGTTATCAAATTGAATATCGTTAAATTGTGAGGGCCGATTGGCTGCCTTTTTCAGCACAGACAAGGCAGTTTGCCTGTGAGTCCAGTGTATGTAGTACTCCTTTTTTTCTTTTCTTTTTTCCAGCTCTGCCAGCTGTAGCGGGGTAAATCACACAACGCTGTAGAAAGGAATTAAATATAATTTGTGACAATTAAATACACTGATTTTTTTTTCTTTTAGCACTTTATCGGAACGGTCTCTCTCACGGCACACCAGCGGCTGTTTAGTGTGGCCTGCTAGTATGAATCGAACCTTAATCCAGTTTTGTTATATAGCCAGGTTGGACAATACCAGTATTAAGAACCTTTAACTCTACATTTTTCTTCATCTTTCAGCAGAAAGGCATCTTGCTGTACCATGTATAAGCATTAGTTATTAGATCCTCCCTTTAATTCTCCTTCCTGCACGTCTGCCTGAACACTTACCCCTACTCCCCCAGACCCCGAAACCCTGATGCATGGTAGAATGTCAGCACTCTTTAGTGCAATATTCTGATTAACTTACACCGCAGGACCACTCGTACTAACCCTTTTTTATGGTATTCAGGAGACTGAGAATTATAGATCAATATCCCAGCAGTATATATTTAGGAATGCATTCAAAGCCCAAACTCCAGGTTGGCCACAGAGGTGACATGTGAGCACTATTTCTTGTAGCAGTACTGTGAGCTCTGGGCAACATAATGATGCACCCCCAGGGTGTGAGTCCTTGATGCCTTGGTCTCACAGGAAGTAGGTTGAAAGACGCTGGGCACCATTAGCTAAGTAATAGGCAATATTCATATTTTAATTTTTTTTTTTTAGTCCTGAATGTTATGTTAAAAAAAATGCATGTAAAGCAATATTATTTCGGTTTTATGTTATAATTGCAATGCGTGTCTTTGATTAAACATTCTGTAATTACCATTTGATGAACTAAAATGAAAAATAATTGCCTATGTGTTTGCCTTAACGGTCAGTGCTTCTTGGTCTTATACAATCTCCTGTCATTTTAGGTGAAATCCGTAAAAACCGGCTCTGTCTTTTGGGCTATATGCTGCTGTTTGTCTTATTTTTACATGGTAAGTTCATGCTTGAAACATTGTTGTGTTCCACAATCTCCAGAATTCAGTTCTTATTACTGCTGGGCGTGAGATGTATCAAAGGAGCAATAGCATTTATTGGTATTCCACCCAATGGGACCATATTTATAGCTGTTTTGAGTGGGTATTCTTTGTTCAATTTCCCCAAAAAGGTCTGTTCAGGTTAAGACCTTCATGGTTTGTAAGACTTAAGCTGGCGATACACCTTACAACCATCGCAAGACTTTTGTCTTGCGATGGTTGTAAGGTAATTAAAAAACGTACGATCTGCCCATCTTGGACAGGCAGATCATACTTGCAATCATCGCAAGCCCGCCCCGCTGAGGGTCGGGCTTCCGATGACTGCAATGCCGAACGGGCAGTGTGTCTTACGAGCAGGCCACAAACCCGCCGACAATTGTGCGATTCTCGGGTTATCGAGCCTGCTCGTAAGACAAAAGACGTACGACCGTACAGTAGAAACGGTCGTGCGTCTTCCATACACCTGTCGATTATCGTACGATCGCGGGATTTCCCGCGACTATCGTACGATAATTGGCAGGTTATGGGCACCTTTTAGAATTGTTTTTGTTTAGGATCACACAATAGATTGCAGTGGAATATGGATCTGAGAACATAGTAGTAAGCTTGAAGGCAAGGGGTTCTTCACAGAGCGGTTAGGGTCTGGAACTCGCTGCCGCAGGAAGTGATTTCATCTAAGAGTGTGGAATCATTCAAGAAACTCCTGGACGATTACCTTGGAGACCATAACATTCAGGGGTACAAGTACTCTTAAGAGCAAAATCACACATGGACTCGTATACACGCATACACGCAATAGGTTGGACTTGATGGACTTATGTCTTTATTCAACCTCAAATACTATGAAGGCGAAGGATTCTGTATATGCGCGGTCAAATAGAGGGGAGTGCCGAATCCCAGTCAATGGCAAGTGGAGGCGATATAAGAACGCTAGAGAACTCTACTGCATCTTGGTTACCCAGAAAATGGCACCAAGGTGGGCCCTGCATAGGGGGCTGAGATCATTTTCGATTCATAAACAAGTGTGTTAGACTTGCAATTGACCTCTTTCTGACCTGCTTCAAGCAGGTTTTGCATTCCCATAGACTTGTAAAGAAATGCAAAAAAAGACCCTTTAGCACAGGCATTTAGGGTGTTTGTTTTTTTTTTTTTTTTAATTCTGTAGATTTCAACTTTCCTCCACTTCCTCAAAAGTTTTCATTCATAGGCTAGGTAAAGTGATTGAGTTATAATGCAACTGCAATTTTATTCTTGAATATGTTTCTTTCCTTCCTGTCTTCTAGGTGTCTGCCTGGGGTGGCTATGTGTTTATTATCAATCTTATTCCACTTCATGTGTTTGTGTTGCTTTTGATGCAACGTTACAGCAAGAGAGTCTACATAGGTAAGCAGCTACAAGTACAATGAGTGATTTTCCACAGTTATTTCCCTTGGTAAAAATTCACACTTGTTGTCTTTGCAGAAATGTTCCCTTTATCAGGTGCCTTTGCAAAATGCCATTGCTGGAACATGTTGTTAGTTGCAATCAACCAGATGAAAAAAGGATCTATATTTAAGTTTACTATACCGCAGTGTTCTAATGAAAAATTCAATGAACCCTAATGCCCATTCAAATTCTAGGTCTTTGCACCTTATCAGTTGCTGTGACCGCATGCCATGCTTTTCTTTTTCCCTTTTTAGATAGATAGATATAGATATGTATATAGAGAGATGGAGATATGTATATATATATTTTTTAGAGGTGCACCGAAATGAAAATTTCAAAACCGAAAAATGTCAGGCCGAAACTGAAAATGTTTTTAGTCTAACTTTTTCCCAAAAAAATTAACATTTTTGGTTTTTATAAGCTTTTTAATTTTATTTGTATTTCGTTTTTCAAATATTTTTTACTCTACTTCTAGGGGCTTTGGGGAAATATTAGGGGTCTAAACAAACCCCTGATATTTCCCTTTTAAAATAGAAGGGATTGAGGACTCTGTTCTCATGTTATGAATGAACAGGAACACTCCAGTTGCAGAAAAAGAGATTGAGGACGGTTGAGTATGTTTACTACAACCACAATCATGAATGAACAGGAGGAGATGTAGATCACTTCCCATTTATTCATAATTGAGGATATAGTACACAGTACAGAGTGTTTGTACCTCGCTCTCCTTCCTGTGTCTGAGCGAGCGGCGCTCAGCCTGCTGTGAGAGTGGTGGCTGTCTCCGCTGACACACCGCTCTATTTGTCACAGGAGGTGTGGGAGGAGAGACGCCGTCCGCTCACATAGCTCTCCTCCCGCAGCGCTCGGCTGCCTGTGACAGTTTCTCTCCTCACTGGGACACAGAGCAGTGCCCAGCGGGGAGTAGAGAATAGAATGCACCGCTATATCAGCAAGAAAATGGCACTTTCGGCATTTTGCAAAAAGTGCCATTTTCGGCCGATATATCGGTGCATCCCTAATATATATAAATATATATACACACCAGCCTCCATAAACATACCTTGTCAGTCGGTGCTCAACCCACACGCCCAGCATTGCATTATGTAACGGTAAGCCCATCACCTCTTTTTTCATATGTGTCAGTACACTGTCTTGATGCAGAACTTTAGCTGCTGGAATGACTTCTACACTTTGAGCCAAGCCCACTTGTCACTTCAACTCTAGTGCATGTAAAATCATTTTCATGTAAATTGATTATAGGGGACCCTTTGGAATAAAATGCAAATAACTGGAGAAAATGGCACACCAGATTAATTAATGGCAAATAATCTCTGAATTTGTGCTGACACTGTCCTTCCTTCTGGAGGGTGGCTACTTTTGCTCCCCATGGTCCCTGTGAGTGTTGTAAAGTAGCCATCACTCCAAGCTCACTCCTGTGATGGACTACAATCTCAATACAAATTAGTAAAGTAAATGTGAGATTGTAGTCCATCACTTGAGTGAGCTTGGAGCGCTGGCCACTTTACAACATACACAGGGACCATGGGGAGCAAAAGTAGCCACCCCCCAGAAATGGAAGGACAGTGTCGGCACCAATTCAGAGATGATTTGAGGATCTACAGCTCAGTGATACACAAATAAGTTACATTTTTGTTAATAGTTAAGGTACTTGGAAGCATTTTTATCATTTAACTCCTGAGTTTAGTGTCACTTTAATCTTACCACTTTGTAATTTTGATTTGTACATTCTTCTTTAGGTCTAACTACCAATGTGTAGTTCAAGAGCCTACCTGATTGTATAGTTTAGATGGGTCCTCATATTACATAATTTTTGTAAATTTAAAGTTGATTGTACAGTCAGATTGTAACATCTATGTGAGGTTTAGATATACGAAACCAGTAGGCATACACCTAGAACTGAAACATAGGTTGTGGTTAAAGTTGACTTTAGGTTGTAAATTGACACAATAGAAACAAAGCACAAGAAAGAAGCAATTTATTTTTGTTTTTTCTTTAGAAGGTAACTATTAGGAAACATTGATTAAAACGGATGCAGATTTGTAATTGTCCAAGCAATGTGCAGTTGAAGGATGGCAATATTCACTTTTATTGTCTTTGCTTCATTTACCTGAACTTCAATGACCTAGCATTTCATTGCTTTCTAAATGTGGAACTTTCACATTTCATCACAATGTAGTATTAGGTTATTTTAGAAGTGGTTAGTTCTTGTCAGCTATAGACTGGAGATATATTAGGATGGTGTTGGGTGAAACAAGGGACCTCTCTTGGATCCAGACTAAGACAAGTTTAGGATTCAGTTCATGTTCATTTGCTGTTCCATTTTTTTTTCTTCTCATTGACATAGCAGACCTGTGATCGTAAGGCCGTCTACAGATATGATTGTTTTGGGTTTTTCCCACAGTTCAGCGCAGCCTTCTCTTCTGATTGTAAAAGTAAAAATGGCTCTAGAAATGCATCATCACACTTGTGGCTTTGTGCTTGCACACTTGGCTGCTCATACATGATTCCTGTTGTGTTTTTTTGAGCTGTGGTTTTTTGAAAATGTAAATGATTCAGAAATGCATTTAGAAAATTCCTTCTAGCCTAGGTCCTAAGTGGCATGCTGCAAGGGAGTCTGGCCTTCACAAGATGTTTCCTGTGTGGTGGTAATGCAGGATCTAAATGGTAGTGTTGGTCCTCTCTAGCACAATAGGGCTGCTGTACAATGTTGTTGTGCTGAACTAGGAGGCACATTTTATATCGTATGACCTTCTCTCTGCAGTGTTGTCATCGGTTTCTCTTTAAACTGAGGCATGACTACATGCATGTAGGTGAGGCTGGGGCTTGTACTGGTGGGTAAAAAGGCCAACAGTTCATGTTTGTCTTGTCTTTTTTAGACAAATGGCTCAAATGAGGGCTTGTGATGGTTCAGTAGCATGATATATCTTTTAATTTGGACGTGAAAAGCAACATCCAACCCCAGCCAATTGCTGCTATAACAGCGATCAGTAGGGCATTGTCTGACCTCGCCTGACACCTAATAAATATTTTGCTAGTTTTGCAAGGTGAGGAGCGATTGTCCCTCTAACACCCCCACCATCTTTCTACAGTGTCCATTGTTTAGCATTTTTGACGAATTGAGCAGTACTATGAGACAGGTTTATTTGGTCTATGAATTGCATTAAAGGGGTTCTAAACCCTCTGTTTTTTTTTGCTTATATCTGCTGCTAGCAAGCAGTAGATGTAGGCAAGAAGTGTAAAAAAAAAACACGCTTGAAATCATTTTAAACTTGCCTCGTTATTGCTTCTTTAAGGTAAGAGCTAACATTTACATGGGGGGGAGGGGAAAACATTTTTGCCTTTTTAATATCACGTTAAGACATTGTGTGCACAGAAATAACTAGCTTGCATTTGTGTGCCTTTTTGATTTTTTTTTTTTTTCTAGGCATCGAAGAACAACTCCGAGCAAATATTTGCAAAAATACGTTATACTCACCCGAACCTTGTAGCCTCCCTCCTGCTTGTTTCCTCCTCTGCTCCAGCGGAGTGTCACTGCATCCTCACATCCTATACACTGTGCATTAGACATGATGAATCATGGAACCTTAGACCACTAGAGCGGGGGGAGGCAATCTGGAAGGACCAGTCTAAGAGCAAGCCGGCTACAAGGATCAGAGGAATATAACTTTTTTTATTTTCACACCTAGAGTAAAATGAGCACTTAACCCTTGCAGTGTGGGGGTTTCCTGGAATTCTTTCATTTTTGCCTGTGAGTGTGACTTGTATGGGGCAGAAAATTAACAAATGCCCATTTCCTCTATCCAGAATGGAAATCTTTCACAATTGCAATTTCCTATTACAGCCATTTCCCATGCAGTGCTGAAGGTTTCCATCACCCAGCTTACAGAAGCAGTGATAGTTTTGGGGCCAATCGCATCTGTGCAGTTTCATACATGGATGCATACCTGCCCTAAAACTAGTTCTGTGTGTGTTTGTCCGGACCTGTTTTATATGTACACATACTGTATATATTAGAGCAAATACATTTCTGAAAGTGCCCCAAAGCTCATTTGAACCTTCAGTTTAAATCAGCTGAAAACATCTAAAGTACCTCAAAACAAATTGTCTTCAATGTGTTAGTTTTTGTGTTTTCTAAAGCCACAGTAGAAAAGCCTGACCAGTGCCAACATGCTGTATAGTGGGACATTTGCTCTCTGTGTGGAAGCAATGGTCTCATTGCAGAGGTCTGAAATGCTCACTACCTGCTCCCTGCTGATTGGACAGGTCTGCTCTGACTCAGCAGGAGGGGCGTGGGGGTTAGGACCTCACACAAGGAGATCACTGCTTCCACACAAAGAACAAAGGTCACTCTCTGCAGCATGCTGGCAGTGGACAGGCTTTTCTTCCCAGGCTGCGGCTGCTTGTAAAACCCAACTGTAAATCTTGCACACCCCACCCTCTGGCTTCCACAGATTTAGAGTAGGTATCTCTGTTGCTAGCAAACTGTTTCCACTGCCTTGGACTGCCGTTATGTTTGTTTACGCCAGTGCTCGCAGATATATTCACAAAGCTGAGAACATGGCCTTGACTGGCTGGCCGTTATTGCCTTTGCCTCATCCCTTGCTTCCCCATCTTCAGCTTCTGCATGCATCAGCTTCTAGTGGGGGATATACAGCATGGTCTTCACCGATTTATGTATATACTTACCATTTTACCACTTGTAGTCCTAGTTATCAGAAAAGATGGTGGGTGTCCCTGTGTTCACTGCTCTCAGAATATCTGAACAGTGACTGACTGCAGCTAATTGACTACTGTTGCTGTCCAGCTGACCGTTTTTACCCAGCAACTTTCACAAAAGTAATTAAACAAAAATTGAATATTGTCAAGCCACATGGTGCCGGCAGAGCCACCCACTGAGGGTGTCGCAACCCACTTTTGGGTCGCGACCCACGAGTTGA